TTTTTCGCGCAACGCAGTTACCAGTTCGGGGGCCGGTGTCTGGGAGCCTGAACTCAGGACGTGGAACTTTGTGTGCAAGGTGCCGTCGGGGAAGCAGCGTCTGGGAGGTCTCAGTGGAAATTGCAATTGCGTGGCTGTGTGCGATCGGGGAATGGGAGGCTCCCGTGCACGCGCGGTGTGTTGCTGGCGAGCGGGAATTTGTGTGGTGTCAATCAAGAGGCTTGGTGTTACATTGTTGTGTCTACTCTGTGGCGCGCGGTGTGGCGTAAACACAGCGTGATTTTGGGGAGCGGGATGACTGGCGGGGTCCACCAGGCTTGGTGGGTGCGCCACAAGAATGCCTTACAAGAGTGTCGCAAGAGCGCCGGACACCCACTGTCTTTCAAAGGTCCGTTTTGCAAAGGGTGTCCTATACATACTGCAGGTGCGTGCGGCTTAGAAGAGTGTCCCGCAAGGGTGTCCAGAAACACTGTCCTACAAGATTGTCCCTGCAAGAGTGCTGTACATGGGTCCAGCGCAGGCCTCGCAGGTATATCTTGAGATTGTCACATCTACTTAATCTTGGAGCTGAGCAGTGTCGTCGTCGTCAGAATCATCTCGTTTCCTTGTGTCATCTCCTATTGTGCTGTCGGGCCACCTTGTTGCAAGGCGACAAGTAAGAAGATGCGTGACCCACATGCCTTGGTACAGAATATAAGACATACTGAACAACCGCAGAACTTTTATTGCGCGTGTAACCAAACACTCGGGCGCCATTCGTCGTCTAGTTTTTGTCCTACAGTATAGGACTCTTTTGCTTGGCTTCGGTGGCTTCTGTTGCTTTTCTGGGCGTTCTGGGGCTTCTGTGGATTTTGGTTTGTTCGGCGTTTGTGGCTTTGTTTGGGCTTTGGTGGTTTCTGCATCTGTGGCTTTTGCTTCTAGGCTTGTAGTGGCTTGCGTGGCTTTGTGTTGGGTTAGGTTTGTTTCCCAAACAGTGTGGACACACTAGGGGTTTTTACGGTAGTGGAAAATAAAAGCAGCTGTGCTTAGATCGCTGTTCCGCGCGGGCGTGTCCGGCTAATTTGCTGCTATTTACAGTGCATTCATGCCTCTCGACATCGTCAATGTGCATTTCGACTGCGCAGGCTCGCAGAATCTGGGGGCCGGCGGCAGGTGCTTCTAGCGACTGCGCTCTCGTTGTGGCGCCGTGCGCATTTTCGTGCATGGTGGTCACTCTTCGTGGCAGGCGCAAGGGAAAGAGTGTCCTACAAGAGTGTCTCACAAGAGTGTCCCAGATAGAGTGACGCGCGAGAGTGTCCCACGAGAGTCTTGTAGGAGTGTCCCACAAGAGTGTCCCACAAGAGTGTCCTATAAGAGTGCCCCACAAGAGTGTCCTACAAGAGCGTCCCGCAAGAGTGTCCCAGATATAGTGACCCACAAGAGTGTCCCGTACGAGTTTCCCACAAGAGTGTCCCACAAGAGTGTCCCGCAACAGTGTCCCACAAGAGTGTCCTATAAGTGTGTCCCAAACGAGTGCCCCAGAGTGACCCACAAGAGTGTCCTACAAGAGTGTCCCGCAAGAGTTTCCTACATGAGTGACCCACAAGAGTGTCCTACAAGAGTGTCCCAAACGAGTGCCCCAGAGTGACCCACAAGAGTGTCCCACAAGAGTGCCCCACAAGAGTGTCCTACAAGAGTGTCCCACAAGAGTGTCCCACAAGAGTGTCCTATAAGAGTGGTCCACAAGAGTGTCCTACAAGAGTGCCTCATAAGAGTGGCCCACAAGAGTGTCCTACAAGAGTGTCCCACAAGAGTGCCCCGTAAGAGTGCCCCACAAGAGTTTCCCACGCGAGTGACCCACAAGAGTGTCCTACAAGAGTGTCAAGAGTGTCCTACAAGAGTGTCCCGCAAGAGTGTCCCAGATATAGTGACCCACAAGAGTGTCCCGCAAGAGTGTCCCGTACGAGTTTCCCACAAGAGTGTCCCACAAGAGTGTCCCGCAACAGTGTCCCACAAGAGTGTCCCACAAGAGTGTCCTATAAGAGTGTCCCGCAAGAGTGTCCTACTGTAAGAGTGTCCCACAAGAGTTGCCCACAAGAGTTGCCTACACGAGTGACCCACAAGAGTGTCCTACAAGAGTGTCATTTGGACATATGTAGCTTTTCGACCGTGTTTGCATTCGGGTTCGTGGGCTCCATCTTGTTTTTTTGATGGCTTGCCTCTTTCTTCGTTGACTTCGTTGGATTTGTATGGCCAGTTTTTGATAGCTTCTTCTGTTGACTGATAGCTTTTTGGTGAACTTGCAATTTGGTGGCTGTGAGGTTTTGGTGGCTTGTGTGGGTTTGGGCTGAGGTTTGGTAGCAGGTTGGTTTTTGATACCTTGCTTTTGGTTGTGGTGGAGTTCGTTATTGGGTTTTTCCCCAAAGTCGGTGCTCTTATGGTCAAGAACGGGTGTCTGATCGAGGCGCTCGTCGGCGTTTGCCATTGCGGCTAATCCGCTGCTATTTACAGTGTGCAGGAGACCCGCGCATCTTTTTTGTCGATGTGACAGGCGCGGGGCTTTGGACATGGTGGCGGTCTTTGGCACGCTCTGATTTCTTGGCAGGTGCAGTGAGTCGCGACTTTTGGACATGTGGCTCGTTGAGAAACCGGAGGAAGTTTTGAGCGAAAGCTGCGCTTTGGCATCTTGATCTTGTCTTTGGAAGTGCTGTTGCTGCGAATCACCTTGGCAGGGCTGCGCGATGTGAATCTTGACGTGCAGATTTTGTGGCAGGCGCAGTACTTTGTGGACCTTGAACGGCAGACTTCGCGACAGGCAGTGCTTTGTGGACCTTTAGATGCAGATTTCGTGGCAGGGGCAGTGCTTTGTGGACCTTGAGTTGCCGAGTCCATGGCAGGCGAAATATTTTTGTAAACCATGAAACGCAGGCTTCGGGGCAGGTGAAGTCCTTTGTGGACCTTGAAGTGCAGATTTCGTGGCAGGCGCGATGCTTTGTAGACCTTGAGGTGCAGATTTCGTGTCAGGCGCAGTAGGTGTATACGTTGTGGACCTTTGAAGTGCAGATTTTGTCGCAGCACATGTGACGCGGCGTCTCGTCTAGAACTTGGGACTTAGACCTTCAAACCTAAGCCTGCGCCGAACCTCCACCACCACCACCACCACCACCATCACCATGCCGAAATGAACCCCAACGAAACAGTTGGGGGTAGGGGATGACCCCTCGGTGCCAGACGCCTATACGATGCCGCGAACTTTCCTAAAGCCCCGTAGGGAACACCCTATAGCAGCCGTAGCAAAACCCAAAAGAACACTTCAAAGAAAAAAACAAAACGCGCCCAAAACGAACGATGCAGCTTTAAGATTTTTTACAGATGCAATGCGCCGATAGTTGGTGGCCTGCTGCGGGGATGATGGGTGAAGGGTGTTTGTTGCGTTGTAAACTGAGATCCAAAATGTGAGTGCTCATCAGACACTCCCAGGATGCTGCGTTTCCCACACAGGTGTTGAGGTGTGCTATGCCATGGTTATGTTCAAAGCACTGTTTTGATGTGACCTTATTGCCTTTAGCGGCGCGTTTGTTGCATTGCATGGTACAATTGTCTGGAGCTAGTTCAATGGATTTCTTTCTTGGTGCTACAAAATGTGTTTCTCTGCATCCTGCAAGGCAAGCGGTTGGCAAATTTCCAGTTTGGAACCACTGAGCTGCAAGGGACTTATGCGCTTGAGGGGAATGTGATCAAGGCTTGCTGGACCAGAAAGGTTTGGAGCAAACCTGGTCGATCTAAGAGGATCGAAGAGGCAGTTGAGATCCACGAAGAAATGATAGTGGAGGAGAACTTTCATGCTGCGCGCTTTAGAGATGGTCTCTATCGCCACCAACACTTGGTGGGAGAGGACGATGATTGAGCTTGGTGCAAGTGTCTGTGTGCATGGTGAGTGAAAGAAGGCCCAAACTAGTTCGAGGTGTTGCGCGCGCGCTTGATAACCCGAGCTGAGAGGGTGCGTCGAAGATGCCAGAAAACAGAGCGTCAGGATGGCACCGAACAGATCTGGAGAAAGACCATCCAGCATATTGCGCGCGAATGCGCGCGCATACACATTCCACGCAAGCATCATCATCCCAGGTTTGTTCTTTGCTGCACATGTTTTGCCACCGTGACAGCGGCCGATGCTCCAGGATCGCACCCGCTTGCTGCTCAGCTGTTGGCTGGTGCCAACGACGCTTTACGAGAGCTCCTAGTATGGAGAAAGATTTCGGCGTGACAGACTCTCGGATGATTGGGGACAAGTTACAAGTTTGTTCGCAACATCCACAAGAACCTGTATAAAGTAGTCCAACCCATGGGCTGCCAGTCACCACGATCTTTACCTACAGTTGTTAGAGGGAACCTCCTTGTGTACGCGTGTGCTTACACACAGCTATACACATGTATATGTTTAACAGCCAGTGGATAAAGACAAACCGTAGCGAATTCTTTCATAAGCTATGTGGGCGGCTGCCGGCGATGCGCAACCCTGGTTTGGCCTGAGCGGTTTGCGCTACAAACTTCCAGTTTTGAGCATTTTTTTGAGGCATCTTCAATTTTGGACTTATTGTAATTCCCAGGAGCGTTGCGAAGGGTTCTTCTGTAGAAATCTTTTGCGTTACAGATTTGCGTCAATACGCTTTTAGACTTTTAGATATATGTAGCTGCCTTTGTATGTATGCTCCAAGTACATCTGCAGCTTGCAAGTGTGGTTTTCTTGAGCTGCTGCTACGGAGGTGGTAATTTGTTGGATATATATAGCAGCGTTTGTATGCTAAAAGTACATCTGCAGCTTTGCAGGCGTGGTTCTGTAGAGCTGCTGCTACAGAGAGGTGGCAAATACATTTGAGGTTGTACAGCGGCGTCTGCGTCTGTAGGTGTGCTACAATATGTATGCTACAAGTGAATCTGCAGCTACTGGAGGTGGCAATACAAAACTCCCCCAATTGTATCTGAGAATGTTCCAGTTGTATCTGTGCTGTAAAATTGGGGCAGTTTGTGAAGCCCTGGTCATATGCCTGTGGCGCTGGCTTGGCCATATGCTGAGAATGTCCCACAAAAGTGTCACGCATCGCGCGACGAGGGTCAAGATGATCCTTGAGAGTCTGGGTCGCTACCAATAAGAAACATAGCTTCAAGGGTTGACTGCTTGGTCCCCCGGGGTTGGCCCATTCCAAGGGGCTGGAATAGGTCAACCCCAAGACTCTCAAGGATCATCTCGACGCGTGACACTTTTGTAGGACAGTCTCAGCGCATGGCCAAGCCAGCGCCGCAGGCATATGACCAGGTTCGCAAACCGCCCCAATTTTACAGCGCAGATACGACTGGAACATTATCAGATACAATTGGGGGAGTTTTTGCAACACGTGTCTTGCTGCAGTAGCCACAGCCACATATGCAAAAGGAAGCGCGTGTTAACGGTCATCGTAGAGTCAAGCATTTTTTTGCTCGCGCGTGCGTGACGCATCTTGGCCGGCTCTTTATCCATTCTTTCTTAGGCGGGGGCCTGGCCGAGACCCTCTGCTGAGATCCTGCGCATCGAGTGCTCAAACGTGAGGGGGCGAGCGAATTCTGGCTTGCGTGTGGCTGGGTGAACCCTCTGCGGAGAATGCGAATTCTGGCATGGACGCACATTAAACCCTATTCGCGTCGAGCGGTGCAAACGTGAGGCGAAATGCGAATCCTAGGTGTGCTGGGTGAACCCTTTGCAGAGATTGTGTATGTTGGGCGCTCAAGCGTGAGGTGAAATGCGTGTGGGATGCTCAAGCGTGAGGTGGAGCTGCGAATTCCAGGTGTGCCGGATGAACCCTTTGCGGAGAGCGTCGTGCGTGTCGGACGCTCAAGCGTGAGGTGAAATGCGACTTGGGTGAGCGTGGTGCGGAGCGTGGGTGAAATGCGAACTTAGTTGCCTTGTGTTTGAAATTGAAGGTGGAAGTTGCAACTGTGTAACCGTCGTTGGAAATGGTGCCGGATGTTGGAATAAACGGTCGCCGGAAACGAAGGTGGAGGTAGTCAAAGTGTGTTAACTGTCTAACTGTCTCTGAAAACAAAGGTGGGGTTGCCGAAGTGTGTAACTGTCGCCGAAAACGAAGGAAGCGTGTAACTGTCCCTGAAAACAAAGGGGGGTTGCGACGTCGAAAACGAAGGTGGTGGTTGCCAAAGCGTGCAACGAAGGTGGAGGTTGCCTAAGTGTGTAACTGTTGCCGAGAACGAAGGTGGAGGCTGCCAAAAAATGTAACACGGTGGAGGTTGCCAAAGTGTGGAACTGTCGTGGAAAACTTCACGAAGGTGGAGGTTGCTAAAACGCATAACTGTGGCTGATAACGAAGGCGGAGTTCGCCGATCTGTGTGACTGTCGCCGAGAACGAAGGAGGAGGTTGCCAAGTTCAACGTGTGCAACTGTCGCCGAGAACGGTGGTGAGTTGCACGCTAGAGTGTGTAGCTGTCGTATAAATATGAACTTTGTTGTAGGCATGTAGCGCGGGAGGTGGCTTCTGGTAGCTGCAGCATCAGGACTGGCTGTAGGCTAGTAGACATAAATGCTTTCTGGGAGCTGTAGCCTCAGAACTGCTTCTGCAAGCTGCGACATTTGCAGAATTGGCCAATTGTGCACATGTTTTTATTGTGGCTTCTGAGATTGGCCACTTGCTAGTAAAAATGCGCTACAGAAGTTTGTGGGAGCTGTGGCTTGAGAACTTGTTTGTGGCAGACTGTGTGGCGAAATGACGTCTGTGATGTCGCGGCGCCGTTCGTTTTTGCACGGCTGCGGTGGAAGTGCGTTTGTGTGGGTCCGTGCCATTGGGGGAGGGAAAGCGCGTTGGTGTAAGTTTGGCGTGTCGCTGAGGAGCGGGAAGATTGGCGGTGCCACCAAGCTTGGAGTTACATGGTTGTATCTAGTTGGTTGCGCGCCCTGTGGCCCAATTTTCGTCGTCGCTGTGCGATGCGGTTTTGCGCGGTCTCGGTGGAAAGTGCGTTTTTGCGTAAGTCCGGGCCACTGGGCGAGGAAAACATTCTGGCATAAATTCGGCGTGTTCCTGGGGAGCGGGATGGTTGGCGGCGTCCAGGATGCTTGTTGTTACATTGTTGTATTTAGTCTCCGCGTGGCAAAATTGGAGTGCTAGGTGCCACTCACCTCTCCACTCCACAGAAAGTCTTCCAATCGGGTTCTTCACATACCTTCCTATGAGATACAGTGCGCCTAAATACTGGCGCCCTCGTGTTTCCACGCTCTGGGCCATTCGTCGGTTAGCTATGCTATTGCTACTGTGCAACTATCACTTGCGCTACTATTAGTGCGCATCTGTGACTCACGCTACTGTTGCTCTGCGCCTTGACCTAGACTAATTACTGTTACATGTGAAATACGGTCATTGTGCACCGCTGATTTACAAGACTGTTACTGTGCAACGGTGACTTGCGCTACTGTTGTTGCGCGCTTGCTTACACTACTCTTGCACTGCGTTTGGTACTTAGATTGAAGATGTCCATAAGACGAAAATTTTTCTTCTAAGTCTCTTTTGACAAAGTGTATGTATGGGATTGTGAGATTGCTCTGTCGCAGCTTTCAGATCTGTTGAGCTGCTCCAAAGTGGGCAGGTCATGCAATCATAACATATCGAGGAGGCTGTGCAAAACACTTCTATGAGTGGCCTGTAAGCCGACCCATGAGGGGACTTTTCTTCAAACTAACTTGTGTCCGAGTCGTTTTTCGGTGATGCAGATGCGCCGGTTGGGAGTCTTGGGTTTGCTGGTCATTTGCGGCTCTCTATGGGCGCTGATGACCAACTCGACCTTCTCCTGCCGTGATGGGTGCCGTGGCTAAGCAAGACTCTCATTGTGTCAACTTGGACAGACGATGATTATGTCGCAGGCAATCGTAAACGCGCGCTTCACATAAGTTGTTGAGTTTCTGGGTCAAGGTTTATTCTGCTTGGAAATCCCTACAGATTGTGGACATGGACATTAATCATCTATGCCATTTGAACATGCAGTTGTTTTGTGTTTGTGTTTTTGAGATTGTTGTCAGTGTGCGAAAATGTGCCATGTGCTGAAGTCTGACGTAATGCGAAGAAGGGCAATATGGTGATTTGCGACCTGGTGAAGTGCATGGCGGTGATGGCGGTGATGTGCATGGAAGTATTCTTTGAATGCACGAGTGGTTTAACGGACGGAACGATAGGTGCCGATGGCTTTGATCTCAAGGATCTCAGCTCGGAGGGATCGGGAGCGCATGGACTCCCTCGTCCTTTTGGGGGTTTTGGTGACTGGCATAGGTTTGGGGCTCACGGCCACTGGTAGTCGAGGCCTTCCTGAGAGACCGTGTAGTTGTGAGTGTCATTGTGCTGCGCCAATTCCCGACAAGGGCTTCACCTGGAAAGATTTGGCGGTCACGGTGCTTTGGCGGCTATCGTGTGCCTTGGCCTGGGATTAGCCCTCTTCGTCTTCTTCAATCTTCGATGTCCGGAGGTCTCGAAAGGTAAGGGACGAAAAGGCGTCTTCGGCTCTCCACTCCAGCTCCGTGACGGGGTGCAATGAAACAGGGAGACGTCTGCTACCTGGACTACGGAGAAGTTCCCCAGGTTATCCACATCCGGCTGCTGGGATGCCAGATCGACGGAGCCCTGTGGGCTATAGTGACCCCAGCCCCAGATGAAGATGCGTATGAGGAAGAGATGTCAGCGACAAACTCAGACTTGGTCGCCTTCACATATGGCGGTCCTGGCTTGGGAAGTCCAATCCCGCCAGGGCTCAACCACGCTCGGGTATATGGCTTTAGAGCCCTGACTGCGGCCCGCTACGAACAACTTATATATGTCTATGCGGCCGGGATTCGTGGTGCCAGAGGTCTCCCTCCTTCACCCGTTCCCCCGTTCCTGGAGCTGGTGGCGCAGGGGCGCAGGGGCAGCTCCAATAGCTGCCGCTGGTCTAGCTGTTGCAGTCGCTGAAGAAGAGGTTTGGATTTCCTTGGAGAACCTCCCTCCATACTCCATGGGACAGATTGTGATCAAACCCGGCATGGTGCTTCCCGCAGGTCATGTCTCCCTTGGGACCGACAAGGCCCTGATCCTGACGGTCAGCTTTGGCCATCAAGAAGATCAAGAAGTCAGAGCTGTCCACTTCCACAGCCAAGGACCTGCGCGTGTTGCCCATTCGATTTGACCCTCAAGGAGATCGACGTCGCGACTCCGTGGAGGCAGTGACGGCCATGTCGCAGGACAAAGTTC